ACATAAGCAACTACCCTCCATTTTGCATCAAAACATAACCAAGATCCTTCTTAAATGCATCACTATAGATCATAGATGTCTCACTAGGATTAGGAATCACAAGGACAAGGGTCGATGTTAAAGTAACTTTTAATTCGTGGAAACTTCACCCACATTTCTCATCCCTAAAAGAAAGGTTGATTTTTTTTGAGTTAACTTAATCAGAGGTGTGACATTGGAAAAATTCTCAGATAAACCTACAATAATAACCAGCTATCTTAAGAAGCTTCTAATTTCAATAACAGTTCTAGGTCTTTCCCAATTAAGGATAACATCAATTTTGTTAGGTCTACAGCTATCCCTTTCTCTAAGATGACATAACTTAAAAAATTGACATCTCTTAGCCAAAATTCTCATTTGCTAAGTTTGGCATACAATCTTTTATCTTTAAGGATATGTAAAACTAATCTCAACTATTCAACATGTTCTTCTTAACTTCTCGAATATATCGAAATATCATCTATAATAAATACTACCACAAATTTGTCAAGATATGGCCTAAAAATCCTATTAATATAATCTATAAAAATTATAGGAGCATTGGTTAGCCCAAAAGGCATCACCAAGAATTCATAATGACCATATTTTGTTCTAAATGCTATTTTAGGTATGTCCTTTGCTTTAAGTCCAATTGATGGTAACCTAATCTCAAATCTATCTTAGAAAAGATAGAAGCTCCCGTTAACTAATCTAACAAGTCATCTATTATGGGGAGTGGGTATTTATTCTTAATTGTTACCTTGTTTAATTTTTTGTAATCTATGCAAAGTCTTAAACTTCCATCTTTCTTCTTAACAAACAAAACAGGTGCACCCCACGAGGATACACTTGGTCGAATGAACTCTTTCTCTAACAACTATTCAATTTGTTTCTTCAACTCTATTAACTCAATTGGGGCCATTCAATAAGGGGCCTTTGAGATAGGGCTTGTACCTTGAACTAGGTCAATGGCAAAATCAATTTCCCTTTTAGGTAGGAGACCACTAATATATGTTGGAAAAACTTTTAGAAATTCCCTACCTATTGGTACACTTACTATCTAGCCATTCTTCAACTTGAGCCTGTCTTGAAAAGAAGACTACAAACCTGGCATCCCTTCCTAAGGCAACACTCAACTTGGGCTATGGACAAATAAGGAAACTCAACCACTGATCTCGCATTTAGGATGTATGCAGGTATGGACACCAATTTACAAGAACAATCGAGTATGGCATTATTGGCAGACAACAAATCCATGCCAACAATCAAATTAAAATCGTGCATAGAAAGACATATAAGATCAATTGTAGTACTTCTATTATCAAGGCATATAGCACAATTCAGACAAACATATAAAGTGACAATATGGGCTCCTATTAGAATAGATACACATAATTCAAAAGGCAAATCACTTATTTCTAAGTATAGTTTTTGAACACAATTATAAGAGATAAAAGAATGGGTTGCCTTAAAGTCAAATAGTGCATCTACAACACAATTATCTATCTTTAATGTACCTTAGATTAAGTTAGAAGATTTACTTGCTTCTTGTTTTGTAAGTGCAAATACTCGTCCTTAAGTCTATGGTCTAAGATTAGGGACTATCTCCCCTTATGAATCACATCATCTATTAAAGTTCATAGGCTTTCCACATTCAAAGCACACCTTTTAACCAGTTAAGCAAGGTTGATTTCCATGGTTTCGACCACACTTCAAACATGGCTTGGAAGTAAAGTTGTGAGTCAATTGTTTTCATCGATTATGATTCCCTTTAGTATCTTGTGTTTAGACCATTGGTTCCCAAAGCTTCTCCTTTAAGAATTACTCTGAATCATCATGGGCTAGCATTTACTTGCCTTGTATTTCATTAGATTACCTTCTATAACCCTTGACTTATTAGCCAGTCAAGCAAAAACTTTTTTAATGGGGTCTAGTAGCCAACTAAGCAAAAACTTTTTTATTACAATTTTTAACATTTTTAATGGATGTTGGGTTTAGTAGAAGAGGCTAGTCTCGCATAATGTGATGAATTATGATTCAAATCTCATAAAAAAAGTATTCACATTTAGTGATTAATCATGTCTTGAAGATAATTGCATTCAACAAGAGAATACTTGTGAGCAATAACGAAAGAAAGCATATTTTTAAACAATTTTTTTCCTTAAAAAACTATCATCAAACAAGGAGTTAACTTCTCTCTACTGACTCCTCCCATCTTTGTGCTTCAGCTGAGGTGGGGTAAGGTGGGGCAAGGTGGGGACAGGATTTGGTTGGTTCATATTTAAAGGTTTTTATTTTTATTTTTATTTTATTTTATTAAAATAAAATTTATAAAAATGGTAAAAAATTAATAAATTTGTTCTTAGTGAATTTGGAGAGTACAAATTTTAATAATTTTTTTAACAAATTTGCTTAATTAGCAATCTAGATAATTCAGATTTAATATAGATGGTCTAAACTTAATATTAAAATTTATTATAATTTTTATAAATTGAATATCCAAATATACTTTGGATGGTGTAGATTAAAATTTTTAACTTTTATTTTTTAAAAAAATATTTTTAAAAGCACATGTTAGAAAATTATCTACATATCCAGAGTATACTCGGATAAACAATTTATAAAAATTATAAAAAAAATTAATATTAAATTAGACTATTCAGATTAAATTTATATATTTCAGATTGATTGGAATGAAGAAATTTATTTAAATTTTTTACCATTTTTATAAATTTTTATTTTAATAAAAATAAAAATAAAAAATTTTAAATTTGGACCATTCAAATTTAATTTACATGGTCGAAATTTTTACCATTATTAAAAATTAAGTTTAAAATTTTGGTGCAGTGGAGGGAACTCAGTGTATTTGACGATAAGATTGGATTTGATAGTTGTTTAAAAAAGGAAAAATGACAAAAAAAAATTCATTTAAATTATCTAAATGACAGATTGATCCCACGAAATGACATAATTTTCCTAAAGTCCCATGAAATTTTTCTATCATTAGGGAATTAAATGAAATGACTAAATTACCCTCAAATAAAACAAAAATTCCAAACCTTAATGGAGAGTCATTCTTGCACATTCTTTCCTCTACTTCGTCTTCTTGTTCTTCTCTTCTTCTAGTCCATCTGCTTCTCCTTCTCCTTCTCCTTCTAATTTGCCTTCATCTCCACTTTAATTTCTTTTAGGTATTAAACCCATATCCACTCACTTCCCTCCCTTTTCTTCCTCTGCTTTCCCGCAATATGGTTTAGGAATTCCATTATTAGGATATCACTAGACTATGCACTTATAGTCATGAAGATCAATTTGAGCTTAAATTGATCTTTTGAAATTGGTATGGTTGATAATTAATATTAGAGTTTTGGCTTCAATTCCTTTCTTTCTTTCTTTTTAACACTATGACGACCTTATTGTTAACATTTGTGTTTTTCTTGCTTTTCTAATCCATCATTGTACTGTTAAAACCAAGACTAAAAAATGACTTTTTGAAATAGGAAAAATTAATGTAGTATCAAAATTATTTTTCCCTAACACAGTGATAAGCAAAGCCTTTGGTGTTGTATTTTCGTTATTTTCTCTTTATGATTGAAGTCTTCATTTTCTTTGCTATACGTGGGTATGGATGCTTACTCATGAATAAATGATATATCATTTTCAGTTGTGTTGTAAATGTATAAACTAAAGTTGTGAATGACCAATATAAAGTTGTGAATATAAAAAAAAAAAGTTGTTGTTGGATAAAAGATAAAAGATATGTGATTATAATATTTGAGAAATAGACATGTTGATCAGTGATTATTTCATTGTTTTAGGTTGGCATGAGAAATGACTTTTTTTGTTTCTAGTTTTGGAAAGAAACTATTTTGTTATTTTCACATAGGGGAGCATTTTGTAAAAAATATTGAAGGTAAAATACAATATGATAAGGGAGTGTAAAAATGATAAGAGAAGAGATGACACTAGAAGATTCAACCCTTCATATATTTTTGTCAAAAGGGTTCTAGGGTATTTTGATACAAGTTATAGATTATATAATTGACAATAAAACCTTAGATAGTTGTCACTTTTAAAAGTTTTCTTATCATTTAAATTAATAAAAGTTGTTATTTTTTGGATCAAAGTGGTAATACATTTTTGCCGACTTAATCAATTTACAGAGGGTACTAATAAATTATAATTCCTTGTTGTGTTGTTGTGAATCTAGGAAATATAGGAACAAAAATTGTGAATGGAAAGTTGCAATTTTTTAACATCTAATGCGCATCAAGACTTGCATATGTAGAGTTGTGAATGACTATTGAATTGTTGTGAATTTAGAAACAAAAGTGATTAATATAGGAACAAAAGTTGTGAATGAAAATTTGCAAATTTTCAACACCTGATGTATATCAGGACTTGCATATACGAAGTTGTGGATGGTTATTGAATTGTTGCGAATTTAGAAACAAAAGTTGTTAATATAAGAACAAAAGTTGTGAATGAAAAGTTGTGAATTTTCAACACCTGATGTATATCAGGACCTGTAAAGACGGAATTACGAATGACTATTGAATTGTTGCAAATTTAAAAATCAAAGTTGTTAATATAGGAAAAAAAGTTGTGAATGAAAAGTTATGAATTTTCAACATCTGATGTATATTAGGACTTGCATATACGGAGTTGTAAATAACTATTAAATTATTGCGAATTTAGAAATAAAAGTTATTAATATAGGAATAAAAGTTGTAAATAAAAAGTTGCGAATTTGTTTAATTTGAATAAAGGGCAAAAGTGTCATTTTTTTTAATTTCCTAATGATAGAAACATTTCATGAGACTCTAGAAAAATTATGCCATTTCATGGGCCCAATTTATCATTTATATAATTTAAATAAATTTTTCCGTCATTTTTTCTTTAAAAAATACTAGTTAATCTTTGTTGTTAAAATTTAATCTCAACGGTTTTAGATTTTAAGCAGAGCATTTGAGAAGTGACGGTGGAGGGAGAAGCTAAGAGGAGCTGACTCCATCTGTCCATCAAACAGGCCATTAAGGTTCATTTCTCATTCCTCTGCTTAACCCTGACCAGTGACCAAAATCGGCACCTCCTTCCTCCATTGACTTCACGTTCTCTTCGAAACCCCTGAGAGCATAGCACTGCCCCTTCGCCCTCCCTGCCTCCAGATCACTGCGCCTCCTCCTCCCTCCCTCTAGATCACGGGATTCTCTTCGAAAGAGCAAAGCACGAGTTCCTTCGAAAATTCAGATCCAGGTTCGTTTTGCCGTTCGCACTCGCTGCTAGCTTAAAATAGATTTGCTACACTATATTCTCTTTTAGCTCTTGTCGTGTATAATTTTAGAATTTTTTGATGTTACATGCGCTGTTACAGCTTTTCACATAAGTAAACATGAGTTTCATTTGTGGCTGAAGTGAATTGTTGATTCTATGGCAAAATATCATGGGGTTGTGCGGAATTGTGAATCTTTACGTTGCTTTTTATGCTGATGAAGTTCGCTTCGTTTGCGTTGACTTAACTTCTATCGTGTTTCTGGTATTTTTTTCCAGCGGGAATTTGAAATGATACACTGTTACGCAGCGACAATGTTTTGAAGTTATTTAGAAACAAAATTTTGCCTTTAAACGCTTGATCATTGCGTTTTTTTCATTCATTTTCACTATTTTGCTGATTCCAACTCTTTATATATATATATATATATATAAGATTCCAACTCTTCTCTAGGTCTTCATAGAAACTTCTCTGGTTTGGTGTGTTGAGTTCTGGTTTCTTCAAACTAAATATCTTTCTTCTGAACTGTTTCAGTGGGTTAAACCCTTCTCCTCCGACAAACTTGCCAAGTGACTCTAACAGCTGATTATTCAGCTCTTTATGAATGTAAATACATTAGAGACCATGATTCACGATGATCCTTAGACCTTCTTGTTGCTCTAATTTCTGTTTGCAGCGAAACTACTTTACTGTCTTGATGCTCTAATTTCTATTGGTATCTGAACTTTTTACTGTTTTGTTGCAAGAATTTTGACCAATTTTCTGTGTCTTAGAGCTTAAAGATTTGTATTCCAACAGCAGTCTGGCTCTTCTCATTCTTATTCCAGTCAATGTATCAAGTGGGACATTATTTTTCTTAAGGAAAGAACTGGTTGTGAGTGATTTTGATAAACTCTCAATATCAAATGTTCTCACTAAATCTATAAGGTACTTGACAAGAATTCTAAAATTATACGCAAGAGCTAAAAGAGAATATAGTGTAGCAAATCTATTTTAAACTCATATTTTAATCCTTGTGTATAAATCTAATATAAAGGATTTTATATTCTTTTCCCTTACCTTAAAATGGATTTTGTCCTTTGATTGATATGAATTGAATGATTGAAGCTGTAGCTCTTTTTTTCTTTTGGTGCTAAGTTCTATTTTTACTTTGGCCTCTTTTTTTTTTTTTCTTGCTTGCCTTTACCTTGACATAGATTAGTTATTTGTTTGTTTATTGTTATACTTGTTGTATTATTAGTTGGACTTGTGCCGGACTAGTTATTAACATTCAATTCACTTTTTCATTCTGTAGGAGTAGTCATCTGAACAGGAGAAGATTATATTGAAGTATAAGTCTTGCTGTCATTTGGTGTTGGCAATGACATTTTTGTTGATTTTTATATTGTTAGTTATATTTTGTTGATGCTATTATTGGTTTTGCTATGTTCTATAGATCATTACTAGTGTGATGATTGCTAGAGGCTGGATTTTTCATGTAACTCTTTAAAATAATTTTTATTTAGATTTATTATATGTTTTAATTTTATTTTAATTACATGTAAGCTTTAAATAGGCTTTAAAACCTACAATATGTAGGCTATAAAGCCTACCAAAGTCTACATTGAATAGGCTCAAAGCCTACTTAAGCCTTCAAGGCCCAAGTTTAGAACCCTTCAAGGCCTTAAAGGCTTCAGGCTAGGCTAGACCTTTTACAAGCTTAGGCCTAAGCCTTAAAAAAACAAAAAACAAAACAAAAAACAAAAGCTTCCATGCAGGCTCAAGCTTGAAGCCCTTAGGCTTGTTTGGCCAAAGCCTGACCTGGCTTGTTTCCACCCCTAAATCAGCAGGCGTAGATCTTAATTGGCTTTGTTTCACCTTCTCTCTCTCTCTCTCTCTCTCTCTCTCTCTCTCTCACTCTAGTTCCTTTTGAATAATACTTGTACAGGAGAAAATAATAATTTAAGAAATAAAATTTAAAATTAGATAAAATAATTTGCAATAATATTTTTATTCAATCAATAATATATAATAGAAATTCTATAAATAATATGTTAAAATGTTAAGTTTTATTATGTATAAATATTTTTCTACAAATAATTAGGTTATTATTGTCTATATGAAATTAACAATTTTTCTCTCCTCTCTAGTTTCTCCTGTTTAACCAAGCATGAGGAGAAAAAATCACATCCTTCACTTTTCTCTTCCTTTATTTTCTCTCTCCTCTTTTCTGTCTTCCCTATTTTCTTTTGTCAGCTAAGCATTGCCTTAACGGAAAATAAATAACATGCCTTTTGGTATTTATTTGTAATTTTAGTTACTTAATTGGTATTAATTTTCTTATAGGATTCTTATTTGTAATTTTCTAAGTTCTTTTTTGTAATTTTTGAGGACTGTTTCTGTAATTTTTTATGTCAAGTAATAGTCAAAGTTGACTTTTGTTAATGATTGAGCAACATTGCACCGTTTTCGAATGTTGAAAGGAAATATGATAACAATAAGAGGCAGTTGATCACTTATCACAGAAGGACGCATCAGTAGCACAGTTAATAATTGAATTATTTTCAGATTTTATTTATTCAAATTTGTTTTTCAGTTGCATTTTCTGTTTTGAGAAATGTTAGGACGAGTCAGTCAATAAAGTGGTCCAGTTAGTCAGTTGAGGGCCAACGTTCTGATCTGTTGGGATGTTCCCTGATTTTGACCTAAATTCCAGATTTATTGATTCCTTATTTATCTTATAAGCCTTAGGTAACAGAAGTCTGACACAAACGAGTTTATCATTGTAACTGGGAGATTCTCCTTTGGCTGTTAAGAATTTTGTTTCGTGAGATTCTTGCTTATATTTTTCTTAATAGAGTTATATTTCCAGCTATTTTCCCAACATACCTTATCAGAATGTTGCACCTAATTCAAGAATAAAATTGTCATTTAACAAGACAAAAGAAAAGGCTATAGTGACCAACAGTTAGGTTTCCATTTTGGAAATATTAATAAATAATAAATATATGTTAAGCTTTTGGTTCTTTCGGTTATCTCTCTCTTGTTTCTTTCTCTTGTTTGTAGTTCATCGACATTAGGTCAAGTGATTATTCATCAACATTCACAGCAGTATCATCGTTGCATGAAAAGTATTATAGATCCTTTAATTATAAGTTCATATCTGATGTTCTTTTTTCTTTTCCTTTGGCAGATGGTGAAATGATTTGTCTGATGCGTATTACAGTTTGGACACAACCAAGAGATTCAAGCCCTGCAATGGCATACACTGTCCAAGGAGAATCTTCCTCAACCACTTCTGCTTTTAATTCCACTCCAACTTGGAAATATGATGTTTTCTTGAGTTTTACAGGAAAAGACACTCGCTTGAAGTTTACAGATCACTTATATGATGCTCTCACAAGAAGTGGGATCATGGCTTTTAAGGATGATAAAGAACTTGAGAGAGGAGAAGTTATATCAGAACAGCTCAGTCGAGCAATTAAGGATTCCCTCTGTGCAGTTGTCATTCTCTCTGAAAATTATGCGTGTTCCACATGGTGTTTGGATGAATTACAAAAAATTCTTGAAGGCAGGAGTGAAATGGGTCTACAAGTTTTTCCCATCTTCTATGATGTGGATCCATCTAATGTAAGACATCAAAGAAAATGTTTCAAAAGAGCTTTAGCAAAACATGAAGAGAGATTTAAGAAAAGCAATGATAAAGTGCAGGATTGGAGAAAGGCTTTGTTTGAAATTAGCAACTGACACTGGCTGGGATACCAGGGATCAGTAAGTTTTTTTATTCCAATGGGCTGTTGGATCAATTCTTTCCCCCCAATTCACAATCCAATTATCTCCCCATCACTGCTAGTGATGTTATGCTTATATCCTATGAAATTATCTCCCCATTCCCACGGCATCAAAAGAATGTATTCTAGTTTTAGTAGACAATATTCATGAAAAGTCATATTTTTCATTATTGTTTTATTTTATAATAACTATATAACTCATGTTAAACAATGTTAATTTATTTTTTTTGTGGGCATGAAGCAAATCTTATCACAAATGTAGTTGGAAGGATATGGACTTATTTATGTTCTAAGTTGCCATCTTGTGATGATAATCTGGTTGGAACAGAGCCAAGAATGATTGATCTAATGTCATACTTGGAGATGGGGATGGACGACGTTCGCGTTGTAGGGATATGGGGCATGGGTGGTGCTGGTAAAACTACTCTTGCTAGAGTTGTTTCTGAAAAAATCTCTTCCAGATTTGAAATGTGTTGCTTTCTTGCCAATATTAGAGAAACTTTACAAAGAGAAGGCCTAGTTGCTTTGCAGAAAAGGCTTCTTTCTCATTTCAAAATAAAAAACTTGGAAATATATGATGATTATGAAGGAATGAAGATGATAAGAAAGCTTTTTTGCAATAAAAAGGTTCTTCTTGTCCTTGATTTAGATCATGCGAGTCAATTAAATAATTTGGCTGAAAGTCTAAATTGGTTTGGTAAAGGAAGCAGGATAATTATCACAACAAGATAGACATGTGCTCACCTCATGTGGAGGGAAAATATATGAGATGAAAGCCATGCAGAAACTCGAGTCTCTTCAACTCTTTTCTAACAAAACATTCAAGAAAGATCATCCTGAAAAGGATTACTTGGAGTTGTCTAAATCTGTAGTTGAATATACAGAAGGCCTTCCGTTGGCACTTAATGTTTTAGGTTCTTTTCTTTGTGGAAGAAGTAAAGCTGAGTGGAAAGATGCTTTAGATAGATTGAAGCAAATTCCAGATGATGGTGTTGTTCAAAAACTTCAAATAAGTTATGATGGATTAAAAGATGAAGAAAAGACAATATTTTTGGATATTGCTTGTTTCTTCAAAGGGTGGAGGAGAGATGAAGTAACCCAAATTTTGGAATATTGTGATCTTCATCCAACAATTGGAATAAATGTGTTGATTGAAAAAACCTTACTAGTTGAAATGGAGGATCATCTTGGATACTGTACTTTAGAGATGCATGATTTACTTGAAGACTTGGGTAGATATATAATTTGTCAAGAATCTACTTGCATTGGTCAGCGTAGCAGGTTGTGGGAGTTAGATGACATTAAGGAAGTATTGGAAAATAACAAGGTTAGTGCCTTATTTTCTAATTAACTCATTTTATTGACATACATATATAATGGTATCAATATACTTCACTTTCTAATCATTCTCATTATTTTTTTGCAATTAACGAGCATTTTTATTAGGGATCTGAAGCATTACAAGCTATTGTTGTGAATGGGCACTCAGATGAAGTTAAAGTGCATCATGAAGCTTTTTCAAAAATGAGTAATGTTAGATTACTCATGTTACCAAAGATGAATGGTATTCGACTAATCTTACCAAGGGGTTTGATACATTCGTGTGGTCTCAAATGTCTCTTTGGTGCTTTAAAAGTTGTTCGATGGCCATCATTTCCCTTGGAAGCTCTTCCACTTGAAACCCCATTGGATAAACTTGTTGATATTCAAATGCATTCTAGCAAAATAAAGCAACTTTGGAATGGCATACAGGTGAGATTGATGTTTTTTGCTTCATTATCTTTAAAATGCGTTTTAGTTTCCATGTCTTATTGATACATATTTTTGCTTGACTAGTTTATGAAAAAGTTGAAACGTATTGATCTGAGCTTTTCTCACGATTTGACCAAAACTCCAGACTTCTCAGAAGTTCCATATTTAGAACATTTAATTCTTCTACATTGTTCATCCCTTGTCATGGTTCATCCATCACTTGGAGAGTTAAAAAAGCTTGTCACGGTGAATTTTTCTTGGTGTCAAAAGCTTGAACTTTTTCCAAGAAAATTGGAAACAAATTCTTTGGTAAAGTTAAATCTTAGATCGTGCTCCAAATTTGCAGTACTCCCAGAGTTTGGGGAAGGTATGAAAAAATTATCATATCTTAATGTATTTTTCACTGCTATGGCTAGAGTTCCTGAATCACTTGGATCCTTGACTGGTCTTGAATATTTGGATTTGTGTGGCTGCAAAATTCTTGATCCTGACAAGAAGTTGAAGACTCTCATAGCTCGCCAAATTTCAGGCTTGAATCTGACATCGTTAACAGAGTTATATTTAGGAAAGTGTGGCTTAAAAGATGGATCGATTCCTGATGAGTTTGGCAGTTTATCATCTCTCATTGTATTGGACCTAAGTCAAAATGATTTTGTTGATCTACCCACTGGTTGCTTCTCTAGTCTTTTTCAACTTCTCTATCTTTTTCTGGATGATTGCAAAAGGCTGAAGTCATTGCCAAGGCTTCCACCACGGTTAATCCGATTGGGTGCTTCCTTTTGTTATTCGATGAAACCCTTATCAGATATACATCTGTGGGATTTGGTTGCTTCACTTGACCATGAGGTATATTTGTCTTTCCTACAATCTATCTAAAGATTTGTATAGTTTTTGTTTTTTTTTTTTTAACTATATATATTCGTGACATGATATTTCTTTTTTTTAGTATCGTTGGGGAACTAAATATGTAAATAATGAGGTATTTAATGATATCTCATTGTGGCTCAAGTACACTGAGGTATGCCCGTCTCTTTTTGTGTGTATTTTTATCTGCCTCCTTTATGGGTTATTATTCATAATAGTTTAATGTTGTTGCAGTTAGAATATCTTCCCCAGAGAGATTTTTGTGCAATTATTCCGGGACGCAAAATACCATTATGGTTTCCAAATAAAGAATATTATCCTTGGGATGAGAGTAGAAAGGAAAGTGTGATAAAGGTAGATATACTTCAATATTTTCGTGCTAGTGAATGGTCCGGAATCGCTATATGCCTCCTTTTCTCAGGTCCTTATGAGTGTCTGATTTCTTGGAGTAGTAAAGCTCTGGAAGATGATGAGTATACATGGAAAGAGTGGGCACATTATATTTCCTCCTCTCGCCAGTCTTCTCACCTTTGCGTAATGGTTTTGGAATTGAATGAGAAAACATGTTGGCAACATCTAAGGGGTCATAACAATTCCCTTCACATTAAACTTTCGACTTACCCTGTAATTAATGGTGCTGAAGACGTTAAAATAGGGGGATGGGGGTGGAGAGTGATATGTAAAGAAGACATACAAGAGTGGTGTAATCTCAATGGTTTCAACCAAGTAATGGAGCCACATCTTGCAGGTCCTGATGAAGTCCGGCTTTCCCAACGCCTACTTGACAAAGTAATTAGAAAGGTGCCGGAGCATGTGGATTTGGCCAGAAAGAGAAAAAAACAAGAATAGGTAATAATGTAGTAGAAGTTATGCAAACATGCGCGCAGGTTATGTGGTTGACATAGCAGCATAATATCAGCACCTTCACTACTTGCTCAAATCAAATGCTGTTCTTGGGACAGCAACAAATGTGGAAATGTGTTTATCATTTGTTGATGGATTTATTTAATTGTACAGTTTTGAATCTTCTGTTATACCTCGCAATGGGAGCAGCTATTGGATTGAGGAGAATGAACAATGAATACATGAAGGGATAGGAAAACCAATTTGTTAAAAGAATATTATCCTTTGGGTGAGAATGGATAAAAGTGGACTTGCCTCGATGTTTACATGGAAGTGAATGGTTTGGAACTGTTGTATGCCTCCATTTCTGAAGTTCGTAAGGTCTGATGTGGTGGGGTAGTAAAGTTGCAGAAGATGATTATGTTGATTATATAGATACACAAACACTTGGTGCAGGCTATTGAAGTTTGGAGGAGTAGCTTGAAAAGTGTGTAAAAGAGGCGGAAAGAGAATAATAGGTAACGATGACTCATCTTCATCGTACACATTCCCTTCTCAAATAGTTGTCATTTTAGATTTTTTCCCCAATAAAAAAAATATTATTACATGACGAATTTTACCATCAAGTAAATGAAAACATTGCTTATTAATGATCTAAAAGTGTTTATAGTGAATAAAGGTATTTAAGTAAAATACTATTGTATCTTGATGAAACTCAATGGAAAAATTAATCTGTAGGTCCTTATATTTTTTTTAATTTTGAATTAGGTTTTTGTAATTTATTTCATTTTAATTAAACTTTTGTAATTTAATTGGAAAATTATATTAGCCTTCAAAGGTTAAAGTTATTAATGAATGACTATCGTTATTCAAAATAAAATAACTTTTAAAATTTATTAAAAAATTGATTTGATACTTTCAGTCAATTTTTTTTATTTAATTCAATTTTGTATGTTTTTTATGAAAATTCTATGTATGTAGAAGTATTTAGAAAATATAGCCTAATTATATGAATTTTGAATTATAAAAATTAAGTAGTAAGTAATTAATTTTAAAGTTATATAATCTTTTAATAAAAAGCTCTTAATTTCATTTTTTTACATGAAAAATTCAAGGATTTTAATTTTTAAGGATTAACATATTTAATTGATTGAACTATAAAAACTTTAATAAAATAATTTATAAGAGCATCATTTAAAAGTAAAAAAAAAAAACTAAAAGGATTTATTCACTTCAACTGTTCTTACGTTTATTTGCTTTCCTATAAATTATTGAAAACCATTCACAAGTGATTTGCACAAGTTATGACAAGTTATGAAGCATAATATAATGGGGTTATTGCTCTCTTTTTAAAAAACTAACTTAGTAGAATGTTCAATGTATCTGTTTATATAGTCATGACCTTCTACAAGTCCCTTCAATATAAAACATAATAGTTTCTTTAGCCAATTCATGATGCTTCTGTCATGGGTGGCCCACTAGTTGGGCAAATTTGGGTTTAGTTTTGATATTACTTTGTCAAGAGATTATTATTTTCTCTCCAAAAAGTTAATCTAATGATGTGTGTAGTGCATCCACTTATATAGTCATGATTATTTTCAAGTCCTTTCAATTTTGGACGTAACAAGAAGCTCCTAATTATTATTTTCAAATCTTGAGGTTGACATGCTATTATTGCTTGCATGAAAATGTTTTGTTGTAGGGACAATACATGTTCTTTATCCATCATTTGTTTATATATACATATATATATATATATACACATATATATATTATTTGTTGAATGGATTATCTTTTATGTGATACATGAATGAACTATCTTCTATCAATCATCTTTTCTCCATTGCAACATAACTGAAAGGGAAAATATATTTTATCAAAATAATCAAAACTAGAACTTCCACCTCCCTCCCTTTGTTTTTCACTTAATTAGTCTCCTCGCTCAAAACATAAAGAATACCTTACAAGGGGAATATCAGTTATCAAAGGTCAAAAGGTTGGTTTTCAATTTTTATTATAGAATCAGAAAAGATAAATAAGATGAGTGGGAAGTAAAATGGGCTCTATTAGGAGTTTTCTTTTTTGGTCATTCTTTTGTGATTAAAACTAGGTTAATATATGCAAAAACCTCATTGAATTTTGAGGTAGTTATATAGATCCTTGCTCACTTTTAAAAGTTTAAAATTAACATCCCTAACCTTTTATTTTTTTTTTTTACTACAAACTCCCATGTTATTTTTTTAGTTATCTTAGTACTAGGAGTTGTCATGTCAAATTAAAAAAAAAAACATGTAACAGTTTGTGGTATTTAATAATAGTTAATAATTGCTTTATAAAAATTGTCTATATTTTTATGTTATTATTAGTTTACATTAGATGTCATATAAACTACTACTGCCTCTTATATATATATATATATATATATATATGAAAATTGTTATTAATTAAAAAATAATAGTGGGAAAGTCCATAGTTAAAAAAAAAAATCAAGGAGGTTAATTTTAAACTTTTAAAAATGAAAAATATTTTCTACAACTGCCTCAAAATTTAAAAAAGTTTTGTATATTTTAATTGTAAAACTATGTGATTTTTTTTAAAGGAAAAAGGGACTCTTCCTGAAAAAAAAAAAAAAAAACTCTCCTCTCAATGCTTGTCATAAAGAAAATAATAACAACAAATAATAATAGCATACTTTTTTTCTAGGTTGAAATATAGATATATCGAGTTTAGCATTGCTTTTCTAAACTATGGACATCTCAGTCATTTCAATTAAAAATAACTGAAGCAAGTTCGAATAGGTGAAGGAGTGAAGAGAGTAAGTAATCATTTTTGCCCAACAAAATAGTTGAAAGACTATTTTCATTTTACATTTTTCATACCTCAGCGTTCAAAAGTGCTCAAATTTTTAAATTAATAAATACATAACTATTAGGTTCCGTTTGATTACTAAAAAAAATGGAAAGAAATGAATTAAAAAATTAAGATAAAAATGAGATGCTTAAAAAAAATAGTGAACAACATTCATAAAGAAGGGAGTAATTTAATTCATGGGGTTAAAGATTATAATTCATAAAATTTTTAGAGAGTGTGATAATTCTTACATTTGTAGTGTATATTAATGAGTTTTATCATGCTTATCATAAAAAGGAACAATGATTTTGTTTATTTTTGTGTTGATTTTTTTAATTTTTTTCATTTCATTCATTTCTTTATATTTTTAACTTGTTTTAGTAGTTACTCTAGATGCCTCTAGTTTATCCCCTTTAACAATGCTAATCCCCCCTTTTTTTTTTTAATACGTTCACAAGGATATTGAGATCAACGTTAGTCCCTCTAGTTGATCTAATTATATTTCTAGTTTTAATTTGTTAAATCATAGTTTTGCCTCACTACGGTAATGTTACTATCAGGATAAGCTAAAGGGGTTTGAAACAATGAAACATAGTCTATAACTAATACCAAAATTTGTTAAAACTATAGGAATTGATAATTGTCTTTTCTCAATTTTAATTATAAATTTCCTAAATCTCATCTAAACAATTAAAAAAAAGCCACGAAGGAATAGAAAAACCAATTTGTAACTTGCCTTTGTTGAGAAAAAAAAAAGTAAAATTTGCATATGCTAGTCCAATCATAATTCTCCATGAAACAATTAAGAAAATCATGATTTTAAATTTATAATTAATTTTAACATATAACAGGGGTGTTTGTATTTTTTAAAAAAATATTATGATTTTGAGTTCATAATTAATTTAGCATGTAAATGTAATATGGGTTTACTTGATTTTGAATCCTGCTTTTCAATTATACTTAACATCAGTCTTATCAGCCAATTTTATGAATCAAGTATATCACTTTACTAAATCAATTATTTTTCAAAATCAATCATATTATTCGACTTTTTCATAATCAATTTCATGTAACAGCTATCCAAATGGACATAGTTTGTGAGTAATAATATGTACAAGTTTTAATTACTGATAGGGTTAAATATTTAATTAATATGTTAGAGTATTTTTAAAGCTTTTAAATATGCCCTTAATTTATTTTAGTAATTAATATATGAATGTTAAAATTAATAAAAATAAGGGAATTATTTGAAAAAAAAATAGTAATTGCTTTTTTCTTAGAACTTTAAAATTAATGATGATTAAATAAGAAAAAAATCTATTCAAAAGTGATAATTAAATTTATAATTAATTTTAACATATAACAGGGGTGTTTGTATTTTTTAAAAAAATATTATGATTTTGAGTTCATAATTAATTTAGCATGTAAATGTAATATGGGTTTACTTGATTTTGAATCCTGCTTTTCAATTATACTTAACATCAGTCTTATCAGCCAATTTTATGAATCAAGTATATCACTTTACTAAATCAATTATTTTTCAAAATCAATCATATTATTCGACTTTTTCATAATCAATTTCATGTAACAGCTATCCAAATGGACATAGTTTGTGAGTAATAATATGTACAAGTTTTAATTACTGATAGGGTTAAATATTTAATTAATATGTTAGAGTATTTTTAAAGCTTTTAAATATGCCCTTAATTTATTTTAGTAATTAATATATGAATGTTAAAATTAATAAAAATAAGGGAATTATTTGAAAAAAAATAGTAATTGCTTTTTTCTTAGAACTTCAAAATTAATGATGATTAAATAAGAAAAAAATCTATTCAAAAGTGATAATATAAGTGATGGACTACAAGTAGAAATAGAGATCAAGAATATAAATTTATTGGATCCATTACTTAGCCCAAAAAACAAACATAATCCAATTATTGAACAACAAAAATTCTTGTGGATATCTCATAGAACTGAGGATAGGGCCTATTTTTACAAGCCCAATATACGCTGAATACATACAATCAGATTCATAATGACTGATGACTTCACAAAATTCTCTTCATATAACCTAAAAAACAAAAAGGGACAATGACAATAAAGCCCTAGGAAACTTATGACAATTGGGATCTCAATAAAATTTTTTAAAAAATAAATTGTAAATATTGATTGAAATAATTGCAAACAAAAATTTCAACTATAAACTGAGAGTTATATTTAGAATTTAAATGTCTTATTTGAAATTAAAAATTTTAAATTTATAATTGTTTAAATCAATATTTACAACTAATTTTTTAAAAATTTTGCTGAAGATTACCATCATAAATTCATTATTTTGAGACTTTAATGTTATTTTTTCTAAAAAACATAAAGATAGCAAATTTAATCTAAAATATGTGTGTTGTATTGCACCTAACTCAACTAAAAGTCCTAATAAATATAAGGTGAAGGGTCATTTTTATTCTTAAATTTTTTACGTAGGTTCTGCGAGCATCATAAGCTTAAATTTCAATCATTTTTGTCATTGAACTCTTAAACTTGTCGTTATATTGTTATTCACGCACCGCTTGTTAACCTTTATCTACTAAGTTAGACATGTTTTGTTGCTTTTATCTGCTAAGTGTTGCTTTTATCTGCTAAGTGGATGGCTAGTCAAAATTTATTAGGATTGGTTTTGGCCACAAAAATATTTGCTTCAAGACACCTAGTGTTTTGAAATTGATTTTTTTAGGTTATTTCCTGCTTTAAATGTTAAAAAACC